TAGAACTAGAAACCTCCAATAGAAAGTGCATTAACTTTCAGGCTTATAATTTAAGCTTAAAGATAAGGTGGTTTTGTTTATAATTTAAAAATATTATTTGCATTTCAGAGCGTGAGGGATACCACTTAAAAGATTTGAGCCTGGGATAGGAGGTTTGGACCTACAAGGTCTATCCCAACTGTCCCGCAGTGGCTCAGTTGTCAGTCCTTTTCTCTCTGTTCATCACTCAATCAGTCAACAAACATTTGTTGAGTACCTGTTATGTGCAAGGCACTATGGTAGGCATTAGGATATAAATGTAGCTACCAGGGTAATGACACCTGATAGGGTTTTCCTAAATAGATGAGGGAATAGTCCCCATCTTTGGAATTTTCAATTTGGCAACTCTTCACAAAACTGTGCCTTTCTCCTCCCACCAACTGGTTCCTACTCTTCAGTCATTGCCTTAAATTCAGGAGTATGTTGGAATTTAGGGGTATATTGGACCCAGATTGTACGGAAGTCAGTTGTTAAATTTTTAGTGTGAGCATTTACACGTCAGAATTGGGAAACACTGATGTGGATACAAACGGTACCCCATGGGTTAAAAAGAATATTAAGGGTTGCTTTTCTAGTACTTTGTGAAGCCCTCCATGAGTGGGTTGGGCTTATTCTGTAGCTTATCCAGTAACTTGAGGGCATCCTAAAGTCCTTTTCCCTTATGCTGAAATACCACAAACTTCTCATTATTTTCTAAGACCAAAATAATTGTTTTTCTTCTTTATCCTGTGTCCCCCTGTTCTTATCTTGTCAACCATCTTCCTCATCCTGTGTCATAAAATTCCTCCTTATCTTGTAAGCAGCCATCTCCATTATCCTGTCATAAAATTCTTCATACAAAAACAAAAACAAAAACAACAACAAAAAAAGGGGTGGCTAGGTGGCACAGTAGATAGAGCACTGGCCCTGGATTCAGGAGAACCTGAGTTCAAATCCAGCCTCAGACACATAATACTTACTAGCTGTGTGACCCTGGGCAAGTCACTTAATCTCATTGCCTAGCCAAAAACAAACAAACAAAAAAACACAACAAAACCCCCCTAAAAAACCATAAAATTCTTCATTGTTCTGAAACCTCTATATAAGCATAACTCCCCCAAATATCAGGGTCTCACTTAGCTTTCTTGCTAAGGAGGCCCATATTGCTTACATGTTAAAATAAAGCTCCCATTGGCTACAGAGAAGGTCTAAGTGAATTCTTTCACACCTGAACTGCTCTCCCAAATCTGACCTCAACAACACTGTAAATCATGACTTGACTTATTGTTTTGCTGATTGTCCAGATTTAAGAAAATTATGTAGAAAATGTCAATTATGCAGATTAAACTTAAAAGTAATGTCATGCATATGGTTTTTTTTCCTCTTGGAGAGCTGGTTATAGGGAGAGAGGCAGACTGAATTTAGTTCTGCCTTTTCGGGCGTTTATAAAAAATTATGACTAAAATAGTAGTTCAGACTCTCTCTCAACTTTGCTTGGAGTCCCTCAGTTGGGAAAGATCCTACCATTTTTATTTTTACTTTATTTTTTTTTGCTTTGTTTTGGGGGGGGGGCTAGGTGATGGGGTTAAGTGACTTGCCCAGGGTCACACAGATAGTAAGTGTTATGTGTCTGAGGCCGCATCCGAACTCAGGGCCGGTGCTCTATTCACTGTGCCACCTAGCTGCCCCCTTTATTTTTACTTAAAAATTTTTTTAAAAAAATTTCTTTTGGTGAGGCAATCGGGGTTAAGTGACTTACCTAGGGTCATATAGCTAATAAGGGTCAAATATCTGAGGTTGGATTTGAACTCAGGTTCTCCTGACTCCAGGGTCGGTGCTCTATCCACTGTGCCACATAGCTACCCCAGAGCTTAACATTTTTAGACAGAGGTGATGGACTTCTTGTCTTCCTCTCTGTACCAGCCTCATGACCTGTTCCATTGTAGCCCCTACATTTGCAACTGAAGACATACAAATCACAAAGTGGTTTTATGTGAAAAAAAATCAGGAGTCAGAAATAGCTTAAGGAAATATAAAAATCATTTAGAAAACTCCTAGAGTAGAATTAAACCTCAGTTGGCCTTTCTGGCCACATCCCTGTTCAGTGAGTTTGAGCAGGGGAAGGAAGGGAAGGACGTCTAACTGCATCGCCACTGCAGTTTTTGTATTTATTCAAAGGGCTCACTGAAGCATCTCTACGTCCCCCATCATCAGTTCCTGTATGCCATAGGGTTGCTGCCACCATTCAGCCTCTCCATGTCAAATTTGCCACTCTAAGACTCTCTCCTTTGTGCACTGAGTTCTCTAAGCTCTCAGGCACCTTCCCTTCCAGTGGAGGAAGATTTACATGATCTCTCTGGACTATTGTTCCCAGAAGTCCATTCAACCATGCTCTAAATGCCTCCCTTCTCCACCAGCAGAGGGACTGATCTGCCTCAAAGCCTTGTTATTCAAAGATAAAATGACCAATAATCCCTGCCTTGGAGGAGCTTACATCCTGCTGGAGGTGGTGTGGGAGATAGATATACATTTACAGAGATTAGTAAACACAAGATAATTTGAGGAAGGAGAAAGCATTGGTACCTTGGGGATGTGTCGGGGTTTCCAGTAAGAGGTGGCACCTGAGTTGAGACTTGAAGGAAGGTGAGGATTCAAAGAGACAGATATTAGGATGGTATGCATTCCTGGTAGAGAGCACAGCCTACTCAATAGCATAGAGGTGGGAGAGGGAGTACAGTAAGTAGACCATATTGGGTAGAACTTAGTGATAGAGAGGAGTAATGTGAAATAGTTCTGGAAAGGAGGGCTGGAGCCAGACTATAAATAGCTTTCTTTCATTTTACTTTTTATTTTTTTTAAATTTTATTAATTTATTTTGATTTATCAACAATCACTCTCCATATACTTTTGAGTTTAAAATTTTTCTCCCCCTTCCTCCCCACCACCCTCCCCAAGACAGCACACAATCTGATATAGGCTATACATTTACATTCCTATTAGACATATTTTTACATTAGTGAAGTTGTAAGTAAAAATTAAAACCAATAGGAGGACCATCAGAGCTTTCTTTCTTTTTAAAATTTAATTTTTAAAATATGAACTTAAACATACGAAAAAAGTATTTCCAAATAGCAAAACACAGAGTGGATTGTATATGAAACCAAGAATCTCTATTTCATGCCACTTGCTTTTTATTTTTTAAAGCATATAATGAATTCCATATGTTACTTTCAAAACTGTCCTGATTCTCTGTGCTTTTGTCTGAACTTCCTTCTGTTTTCTTCTGTGCGATTTGAAAAAATGTTCCAGTGTTCTTTCTTTTTTTGGCATCACTGTTGCTAACATCCCTTTTTCCTCCTACTCTCATCCTTTCTTCCAATTAAAAATCTAGAGAAAGAAAAAACCCAACCTAACAAAGCATAGTCAAGCACAGTCTCCCTAGCCAGAAACGTATATCTCTTTCTATACTTTGAGTCCCTCCCCTCTTGGTTAGGAGGTGGGGAACATACTTCATCATAGGTCCCTTGAAGATGGGGTTGGTCACTGCATCAATCAAAGTTCTTAAGTATTTCATCTATGAATGACTTTCTATGCCACATGGAAAAATTTCTTTTTTATCATAGAGATAGGATAAATAGGATAGTTTCAGTTCTGAGTGAAATTTCTTGAATAGTGATGTGATCAGATCAGACCTGTGCTTTAGTATTAGATTATTTTGGCAAGTTTGTGAAGGATGGATTGGAGACAGGCAAGACTGGAAGTGTGGAACCCAGTTAGGAGGCCTTTCCCTTGAGGATCTCATCTGTTGCTCTCCATACAACTATCATCTCTACACAAATGATTTCAAAATCTCTACATCCAGTCCTGATCTTTCTCCTGAACTCTGTTCCTGCATTGCCAACTAATCCTTGCTGGATATCTCTGTCAAGCATTTCAAATTCAACATATCCAAAAGAAAATTTATTTATCTTTTCCCTAAACTCACTCTTCTTCCAAATTAAGGATGCCATCATCTTCTATTCACATAGGCTCATATCCTCTGGGTAATCACTCACTCTTCTTTCCCTCCTCCTTGTGCCTCCCCCTCCCCATAATCTTTCCCATATATATCTACTAGTCTTAAAGGGCCGTCACCCTTTTGCAGTCTCCCATCACTTCTCACCCAAACTATTATTTTAATCCCTTAATTGGTCTCCCTGCTTCCAGTGTCTTCCCTCCCCAATCCATCCACCAAAACTGCTGCCAAAAATAATCTTCCCGTGTAACAGGACTGTTCATGACATGCACTCCCCAGCCGTGTCGCCCCCAAACGCCGCAATAACATACGCTCTCCAGCCTAACAGTTAAACCTCTTCACAATCTGCCTCCAACCTACCTTTCCAGCCTTATTTCATGTTACTTTTCTTCAGGAACTCAAGTATTTTGGGCAAACTGACCTACTGGTGATTCCCTGAATTCAGTGTTCCATCTTTTACCTTCATGCATTTACGGGAGCTGTTCCCCCATGCCTGAAATGGATTCTTTTCTCATCCCCATCTCTCAGTACCCTTGCTGTCTTCAGTACTCTGCTCTGGGACTACCTCCTCCATGAAGCTTTCCCACATGTTCCACTTGTTACTACTCAATGCCAACTTAAATTACCTAGTATCATTCTTATTTGTGTACCTGTTAGCTCTCTTCTCCAAACTCCTTGAGGACATGGATCGTTTTGTCTGTATCCCCAGTGATGCATAAAATGCCTCTTCTGTTAAATGTGTGTTGAACTCTGTAGTTCTACGATTTCCCTTTAGAGAACAGTATTTCAAGTTCAAAGAGTTTTAACTGAGTACCTAGCCTGGTTGAAGTGAAAGAATCTCCTTTGTAGGGACAAAAATGTGCCTCTCAATTAAACTGTTGCTTCTCTCCTCATTGTCAGCTATAGTTCATAACAAACCATTTGTGTTAAGATAACCTGGTCTTATTTGCTTAACTTATACCCCAACGATGGCCCAGTGCCGTGACCTAGAAAACCATCACCACGAGAAGCTTCTGGAGATCTCCATAAATACCCTGGAGAAAATAGTCAAGAGTGAATTTGATGAGGACCTGCCAGATGATGTCCGAGCGGTGAGGCTTCCAGTTTCATAAAGAGGTTGTGGTAATACAGATAATATGAAAAGGCATTTTTTACCATCTGTGTGGAATGTGGTCTTTTGACACTGATGACAAAGCAAAACAAGTGTGTTTCAAAAACTGGGCTATATATCACTTAAGAGAATATAATGTAAGCAGTGGACTAGGCATCAGACTTTGTTTCTAGTCCTGGTTCTCCTATTAACATGTGTGTGACCTTGGGCAAATCACTTACATTTCTTGAGTCTATTTTCTTGTCTGTAAGCTATTTAGCTGGAATGGATAAGCATTTCCCAAATTCATTTGTCTATAGAATGTTTTTGGGCTGGAAATATATTGATAGAACCTACAAATGTCAGTCTTGGGCCATAGATAGCCATCTAGGATAAAGAGGATCAGAAAAATTTTGGAATAGAGAAATTAGGCCCATCTTAGAGCCCCAAACTGCTGTAAGATTATATGTGTGTGTGTGTGTGTGTATACATATATATATGTATATAGAAATATGTGCTTTGCATAGTAGTATTTTGATTGTGTATCCACACACTCATATGAAGAGAGACAGTGTGGTATATTGAGAACCTGCCTTGAGTTAGGGATACCTGATTTCAAATCCTGCCTCTTACACATACTTACTTTGGCCATGAAATTTACCCTTTTGGTATCATAGGCAACTTTATAAGACTAACCTGCATTGACACAGTTTCCTTACAGGAATTTCCTGTCCTATAACAATGAAACCCTGCACAATATAGGTTTATATCTAGTATTCAAGGGAAAATATTCATATCAGTATTTTCATGTGGAAACCTCATGCTTGGCCTGACAGAGCTCTATGGAATACAATTTGTGGGACACTGGACTGGATGATCTCTAACATTTCTTCCAGCTTTAAATTTCTATTTTGATCTTATTTTTCCCAAAAGAATGCTAGAGATGGCAGGTTCCAAGGGCACTGCTCTTGCCCCACTCCAAGGTCTATTTAACTTATATCTGAAATATAAGACTAGTACCGCTATTTCAACTGCATTTAACCATCCTTTCATGTTACTTTTCTTCAGGAACTCAAGTATTTTGGGCAAACTGACCTACTGGTGATTCCCTGAATTCAGTGTTCCATCTCTTACCTTCATGCATTTACGGGAGCTGTTCCCCCATGCCTGAAATGGATTCTTTTCTCATTCCCATCTCTCAGTACCCTTGCTGTCTTCGGTACTCTGCTCTGGGACTACCTCCTCCATGAAGCTTTCCCACATATTCCACTTGTTACTACTCAATCCCTGTCTGAAAATGCATTTCAAGTTCTAATCAGGCAAACCAGAGATAACTCCCCTTTAGCAACAGAAGTTCCTTCTTCATCCCTCCCGTGCCCCCTCACCAGAAAGAGGACTTGATTGGGGGTCAGGGTAGATGGATCAGTTATGCTTGGTTACTTTCCCAAGTGTTCTTTGTTGAGGAACAAAGGACAATTGTTTCTCTGAACCAAGACTCCCCATGGTCCTGTGTATCTAATACTTAATAAGTCAATTGTTCTTAAGTCAAGAGCCTGCATCTGAATTTTTAAAAGTTCTTATTTTTTTTTATTCTGAACAGCTTCCTTTTAAAGCATATAATAAATTCAATGTTAGCTTCAAAGCTGTCCTGCTTTTCTTTCTACCTCTCGACTTCCTTTTGTTCTCTTCCAAGCATTTAAAAAATGCTTCAGTGACCTACTTTTTTCTCTTTTCATTTGCATCCTAGCCCACAATTTCCTTCTATTCCCTTCTCACATTAAAAACAAACAAACTGAGCAGGGGGAAGCTGATAGAAGGGAGGGCAATTTAGGGGAGGTAAAAGTCAGAAGCAAAACATTTTTGAGAATAGAAAAGGTAAAAGGAGAGAGAGAGTGGGATAAATGGGGAAAATAGGATGGAGTAATCATTACTGTGAAAAAAATGTTTACAGTGAGTTTCTCTGATAAAGATTTCATTTCTCAAACATATAGAAAACTGAGTCAAATTTATAGAAAATAAGAGCTATTCCTCAATTGATAAATGGTGAAAGGATGTGAACAGGCAGTTTTCAAGCAAAGTAATCAAAGCTATCTATACTCATATGAAAAAATGCTCTAAATCAGATTGGCTAATATGACAGAAAAGAAAAATGAGAAATGTTGGAGGGGATGTGGAAAAATTAAAACACTGATGTACTATTGGTGAAGTTGTATACTGCTTCAGCCATTCTGGAGAGCAATTTGTAACTATGCCCAAAGGGCTATAAAACCCTGTGACCAAGCAATACCACCACTACTAAATCTGTATCCCAAAGAGATAAAAAAACGAAAAAGAAAAAGAACCGTAGTGTACAAAAACAAACACAACAAAAAACTTCTTTCCCTTATAACAAATAAGCATAGTCAAGCAAAACAAACCCATACTTTGGTCCTGTCTATGTGTCTAATTGTGGAATTCTTCTCTGAAAAAGAGGGAGGCAGCATGCTCAGAGTTCTTAAGTCTTTCAAAGCTCTCTTTCTTTACAATGTTGTAGCCACTGAAATTATTTGCTTGGTTCTACTCAATTCATTCTTCATTAGTTCATACGTGTCATAACCAGGCTTCTCTGAAACCATTTCTTTCATCATTTCTTAGAGGTCATTAATAGTCTGCTATATTCATATACCATAATTTGTTTAGCCTTCAATGGAAAGCTCTGGAACCCCATTCTAAGGTCAGTGACACAGCTGATGCCTCATCCCTGTTACATGCTCTCTGACCCCTTACATAGCCCCAGGTCCTAGCTTCCATCCATGTGCTAGAAAGCTTTGCAGAGGCCTTCTTGGGTGGGCCCATTCCCAACATCTTTAGGTCTCTAGCTGTTTCCCTGTCTTGATCTGGGCTGGAAAAAAATGACCCACTGTAGTTTGTCCTTGGATTTCCTGATCACCACTCAGGTTGATGCTCTTCTTTGAACTTTGTTGGAATAGTTGTGGGAGAGTAGTCTGTACTCTTTCCTCTTATTCTACCATATTTGCCCTGTGATCCAAAGTTTCTTCTTTACAATATTGTTATTGTAGAAAGTGTTCTTCTACTTCTGCTTGCTTCACTAAGCTTCGATTCATACAAGTCTTTTCCAAGTTTCTCTGAACCTGTTCCTTTTGTAACTTGTTACGGTGCAATAATAGCTCATTTCATTCATATGCCACAATTTGTTTAGTCATTCCCCATTTGATTTATATCTCCTTTGTGTCCAGTTTTTTGTTACAACAAAATAGTTTCTATAAATATTTATGTATGTGTTTTTTTTCTTTGACCTCTCTGGGGCATATGGTATTATCACTGAGTCAAAGGGTATTCACAGTAACGTTGGGGTCATAATTCCAAATAGCTTTTTGGAAAGACAGACCAAACCGCAGTTCCACCAAGAGTATATTAATTTGCTTTCTCTTCATTTGGATATCTTTTTATTTTTCAGTTTCAGATTAGATAGATTTCTTCTTTATTGTAGTTCATCTGGGGTGTGTGAGAAAACTAGGTTTTTCTACATGTTTCTAGATTATTATCAGGTATGGGTCCAGATGGTGTTAGGTTGGGAGATAGTGAGCATCTAGAGCTGAGCTACATTGTTTCTGCCTGGGGAGTGGTCAGTCATGGGGGAGGCAGAAATTGGGTACTTGGAAGCAAGGGCCTGGGGCCTACTTCTTCCTAGGCCCAGGCCCAAGCACTAAGATTAGGGTTCTCTTAAGTAGGGGGGATGCCTGTCTTTTTAATATAAATATTCTACTGATGTGTAGCTGTGTATCATGGAACACTAGTCTGTCAAGAATTTAAAATGAGTATCATTGGAAAGGTGCATGATAGGTACAAGAAGGCTGCAGCATTTAATAAATTAGTAACCTTGAAGAAGTGGAGTAAAGGATATCACAAAGAAAAATATAAACAAAAAAGGAGATGGACTCATCATGTGGTGAGAGCAAGGAAGAATGGGGATTGTCTAAGAACTCCATTGGGATCCTTGCGAAGTCAAGAGCCATGGAAGGCCCCTCACATCTTGGGTAGACTCTCTCTTGTCCCCCAATCCAGACTTATGGGAGGACATGGACAAGAGCTATAGGCGGGGTAGAGAGGTAGCGACCTGCATCACTGGAGAGAACATCCTAACTGATGAGCTCACAGATGCACTTGAGTACTGGGATATTTGAGTGTTACCCTTTGCAAAGTCAAGTGTAGACAAAACCTTCCAAATAGCATCATGTTCTTAGGATCATGCATCAGCCTGCTCAGACCAAAAAAATATTTCTTCAGTATAATTTGCTTACCTAAATTGAATGAGCTACGTACCAGCAACTGAGCAAAAAAAAAAAAAATCAATCAACAAGCCAGGTTGTTTAATGTACTGTGCTCATCACCAGGGACCCAAGGACCAACATGAAACAGCCCTGTGGGTTGGGGTCTGTCAGTTTTATTAGTGCTTTTATTATTGAAGGAAAAAAATGTCTACTACCAACTCATACCTATTTACCACCATGTGATCTAGATTTAGAAGGGAACCTCGGAGCCCATCTATTTAACTGCCTCATTTTACAGAGAACAACACTGAGCTCCAGCAAAATGAAAAGCTTTTATCCAAAATCCTGCAGGGAGTAGGCCCTCTGGCCAAAAGGAAAGCCCAGGTCCTCTGGCTCTGAATCTTAGACTTTATTCATTGCATCATGTTACCTTATCCAACCCCTTCACTTTACAGAAAGCAAAGAGATCAAAAAAACTCAAGTGACTGGCTCAAAGTCATACAAGCTGGCAAGTTGTAGAGCCAGGATTTGAATGACTGAGTCTGCAAATTCATTGTTCTTTCCACTATACCATTACTGTTTCCATCATTTGCAATGTTATACTTCAATCTTTTGATCTCATTTTTTACTCTCTGATAATCTAGTGGCAAAACACACTGGAATATAATAATAATGATAGTGATAATAATATGCTATTCTATGGCTAAGCACTTTACAATTATGATCTCATCTGAGATCATACAACCCTGAAAGGTGGGTGCTACCATGATTCCCATTTTACATGTAAATAACAGAGGCATACAGAGGTTAAGTGACTTGCCCAGGATCACACAGCTAGGAAGTATCTGAGGCAAGATTTGAACTCAGATCTTTTCTGTAAAGATAGGGGCAGCTTTTTCTAACTGGCTTACCACAGGGCTGGCTTTATCAATACTGAATGAATTTCTTCTCTTACATTCACTTGGTATTAAGCTCTGATTTTCACCATGCTTATGTTTCAAATCAAAATGTATCCCATATTTAATCAATTTTATTCACTAGCTTTTTTCTGACAAAGATACAGTGGTTAATGCAGTTGGAGCATCACATGACATCCACCTTCTGAGGATAGACAATAGAGAAGATGAATTAATAACCAAAGTCACCAGTTGGTGTACAGCTATAGTAGATAAGGTAAGTAAACAGTGGCAGGTAAAACTTTATTTCTCAGCTACAGACCAGAGAAAGAGGAATTGGAAGTTTACCAGGAAAGTCATGTTGATTGAATATCTCCCACCTCACCCCTTACCCCCATAAATAAAAACATAAAAAGACCCTGATTTTAGCTTATTAGTGATATAGTGTTTCTAACTCATTCTAAGTTCTACAAAATTAAACAGATTAGAACATTGTTAAGAAAAAGGGTCACTCATCCTGTATACTTTTTCATCAAACTATAGAAAATATTAACCATGTAAAATTTTTATCAATCACTTCTTTATTCCTAAACTGGACACACACACACAGAGGCTTTTAAAAAGAAATTTTAAAAGGAAATCATTCTTTGGTTTCAAATCCTCAGGTTCATAACGATGAACACGACAGGAACCGAAAACGAGTGAAGGAAATCAATCAGTATGTTGACTATTTGCAGAATGAACTGGACAACTTCGATTTTGGTGACCTGGTGGATTAGGTAAGTTTTCACACAAAACGGGGTCCTCTTTTCTTTTTAGAAAGGAATACTGATTAGGGCTCAGACTCTGCTCATGTACGTGAGTGACCAGTGGCCGACAACTTCTGTAAAGATACGGCTACCTAAGTTTTTCAAGATTTTCCCCATGAGAAGTTCAAAGGATAGAAGCCTTATTTTATTGCTTTAAAACATATTTAAATTTATGAAAAATAAAGACAAAGATCAAGCCAAAGTACTGATCGTTGTATCCAGCAGGCCCATCGAAGCCACGTTGGGATTGATGGCTTCACTCACACTGGAGCCCTCTGTTGGCCATGCAAATTACAAGCTTGATGTCAGAAGGGATTTTCTCCTCTTTCTAGATAAAAAGGAGACTGAAGAGCCATTAGAATAGCAAACAGCCATTTCTTAGTATAGATAGTTCTTGCTTTATGTAAGTGGACTGTTCTGCAGATCTCTATGGAAAGCAATTTTTACATAATGTGAATTTGCCCACGGACATAGGGAAAAGAGAGATGGAGGGAGACAGGAAGTAGACCCCACACCCATGGAAGGAGGGGGCTGGCATACAGTTCAAGGAAAAGTGGAGGCCAGGAACCTAGAGGTGAGAGCAGGAGGAGGAACATGTGGGGGCTGGGGCTAGTCACATGAGGGCCTGGCCAGGACCCAGAGGAAGAATATGAGGGAGACTGAAACGTGGGGGCCAGACACAGACAGGAGAGGATGGGTGAGACGTGGGGGTGGGGCCAGACATGCAGTCGCTAAGTGTGGACATATGGAAGACAGACACATGGATGGGTGGGCAGAGCAAGGCAAAGGTCTAACCCTCTGGGCACTGAAGGTCTCAAGCCAAACCCCGCCTGCATCTGTTCTTCTGCTTTGACTTGGAAGGTTTGGGGAGTTTTTTTGGGTGGAGGGGTGGGAGGCCTCAGAACATTGAGCGTAGGGGCAGGAGTGGAGACAGAGCACAGTACTGTACATTAAAGTTAACATACATTTTTTATTTTTTGGAATAAAGATTTCTTGCAGAAGTCTTTAAGTAAAGTTGAATTTGTGTAATGTGAATTTACGTAAAGTAAGAACAGAATGTACTGAACTACATATTTACAACCTGTCAGAAAATGACTTTTTAAAAAACCCAGCACAATGGAAATGTGATTTCTACTACTGACTGCTGTAGAATACAGGAAAGAAAGCTCTCAAAACTCTTTAAGATGAAAGCTTTCTTTTATTTATTTTTGAATGCAGGTTATCTTAAGTTCCTATAGTTTATTTTTAAGTGTGCTAATAAGGGCAGGCTGCTTGAAGAGCCTTCACTGCATGCATATTTGGAGAACCATTTGCTCCTTCTGCTGTATTATATAACAGTGATGCTAAGAAATGGCAGATTGCCATATTGAACACAATGTAAGGAGGGGACCTTAAATACAAAAAATTAGGGAGAAATCCTGAATTTTCCTTAGATATGTCTTTCAAATCAGATTACTTTCTAGAATTTTAATTTATTAAATTATATACTAATTATATATTATATTATAAAGAACACACTACTTTCTATGACTTTTAAGAAACAGAAAAAAAAAAAAGAACAAGATTAACTTACTTTCAAGAGATCCCTTGATAAAAGTCAAACATATTTGAGAGAAAAGAGGTTGAAAGATCAAGAATACAAATTAGTTTCCTGATTGGTGACAGGTACTGAGTCTCTCATTTCAGATCTAGACCAGCAGAAGCAAAGTACACTCACAAAAGACAAGATGTTTAACCTTAGGGAAACCCAGGCACAAAGAATTCTGGAGCCATAAATAATTACAAGGCTTGATACAAATTTTGATGTTGATGAAATCTTTAATATTAAAAAAGCTAGGAGGAAAGTCCTGTGTACCACAGCGATAGCTCCTTTTTCCCCTGGCTAGGTGTGCTCCTGGATACCTCTCCATTACCGAGGACAGGATGAGGACAGCAGGAACTGGGGGATCAGTCCTGTGGCTGGTAGCTCATACCATCCTCAGTTCACCTAGGATGCTCTCATCATTCCTTTATGATTCAGAGTTCAGTAAGAGAACCTTATTCCTGCAGGAGTTTGTGTTTTACTGTGGAACTTTCAGAGCAAAGGTGAACAAAAAGTGTCCCAGCTGCAGTGCGAGCCCGCAACTCCTGTAGTTCATAGTCATGGGCCCATTCCACGTTGCCCCATTTCTGGATCTAAGAGAACAATGTATACAGTTTGTTAGCATCAAGACATCTTGGGAAAACACAAGAGTTCTAGATCTTTAAAGATTTTTCCATGAACATTTGCTCCAAATTTTATTTCAAGGATCAAATCATAAATATGAATGTACCAGGGCCAATTTCTTAGGGATCTGCTTTCATCCAACAAGGCTGCTGCCTGGATGGAGTGGTATTTAGAACAATGTCTGCAGTACCCAGTGGTGGCTAGCTACAGTAATTGCCACAGCTGTGTGCTGTTGTTCAGTTGTTTAGTCATACCCAGCTCTTCATGACCTGGATGGGGTTTTCTTGGTAAAAATACTGGAATGGTTCTGTGGTAGATTAAGGCAAACAGAGGTTAAATGGCTTGCCCAGGGTCACACAGCTAGTCACTGTCTGAGGCTGGATTTGAACTCAGGTCTTCCTGATTCCAGGCCCAGCGCTCTATCTACTGAGCCATTTAGCTGCCTCTGTGGGGTTATCTATAACATAAATCAGCCAGAGCCAGGCAATGGCAAAGGAGAGCAGTATCATACTGTGCCTCTGGGTTCTTTTCTTCCTCATAAGTGGGTTATTATGATGGATATTTGATCCCAAAGCACTTCCTGCTTCTCATCATGTCATTTCTGCAGAAGGTAAGTCAGCAGCAGCCTGTGAAATACTACTTTGCCTGTTCAGAGAAGTCTATATCCCTGAGTGTTTCTGCCAAGAGCTGCTTGGCTATGTAGGAATGACAGTGTCTAAGGACAATAGCACTCAAATGACAAAACCTCACTCATCAGAAGAACTGAAAGAAATACAGGATGATAGATTTCAAGCTGGAAGAGACCTCACAGGTCATCTAGTTCAGTCTGCTCCTTTTACAGATGAGGAGAGCTTGGTGACTTGCCCTAAGAGCATGCAGGTGCGAGATGGCACTGAAAATGACCTAACTGGGGCAGCTGGGTGGCGCAGTGGATAGAGCCCCAGCCCTGGAGTCAGGAGGATCTGCGTTCAAATCTGGCCGCAGAAACTTGACACTCACTAGCTGTGTGACTATGGGCAAGTCTTAACCCCACTTAACCCCAACTGCCTCACCAAAAACAAAAAGAAAAAGACTTAATTAAATTAGAAAAAACAAAACTGGTCCATCAGAAACAAGAAAAGAGCTTAAGAGGAACATCTTTTGTGCCAACCCCTGAACTACATGCCTTAGAGATGAAAAGCACAGGGACAGTTCAGCGAATGAACAAAAGCTGGAAGATCATGATGAGTGTGGGATTGCACAAGCTGGATGGAGTGTATAGCATGTAGTGTGAAATACAGCCAGAAAGACAGTTTGGAACCAGGCTAAGGATTCTGTTTTTGATCTTGCTGACAAAAGTTGCTAAAATTTTCTGAACAAAGGACTGACATGGTCAAAATTGTACATCAATAAAATTAATTTGGCAGCTGTGTGAAGCATGAATTGGAGAAAGGAAAACTTCTGGTAGACAAATTAGTTTGGAAACTGTTGTAATAGTTTAGAGGAAAGGGGACAGTGATGAGTGGCAAAAGGTGATGAGAGGTGGGGATAGGCCCGAGAGATAGATGGAGATAAAATGGACAGAATCTGGCAAAAGGCTAAATATGGGGGATGACACAGAAGTAAGTCAAAGAAAATTTGGAAATTTCAACTCTGGGTGACAAGGTAGTTGGTGGTATCATCACCAGAAACTAGGAAATGAACAGGTTTTGGGACAGACAATGAGTTCTTGGAGAGATGTCTTGCAGGCAGCTGGAAATGCAGGACTAGAATTGAGGGAAAAGAGCCGGGCATCAAAGTTGTTGCAAACAATTCTCATTCACTCTCTTTTTGGGTCTGGACCCTGTTATTTCTCGGGTGTAGGAAACTCCCAGTGAGGATAGTCTTTTGACTGCTATAGATCAGCAGCTGTAACTTATAGTCACGGAGCCGCCTGGAGGGACAGTGTCAAACTCAAGTAGAAGGAGGATTCCTGTGGGACATGTACTGATTCAGAAAACCAGACATTAACATTATGTATGTTGTACTGTATTTTCCAATTACGTTTTAACCTTGTTTCCTGTTTGACACCTCTGGCCTGGAGCACTGAAAGGTTAAGGGCCTTGCTTGCCCAGGGTCAGAAAGCCAGTATGTTAAAAGTGGGACCTGTATCCAAGTTTTCTGGACTCTGATCCTGGCTTTCTATCAACTATATACCATTCTATCTTTCATTAATCCTAAATAGATTAAGTGTCACTACAGAGAAATTGAATTTGTACCTCTCCTTGGTAAACTATCTTCTAAACTTCAGCCTGGAATGTATTAGTTGCCATACAAGTTTTCAGTTAGTGAGGTTTGTTAAATAAAGTTGTGATCTAATATAATTTACATTTCTCACATTTAAGTTTACAGAGTACTTTACAATCAATGTTTGCTATTCCTCTTAACACTTTGGTGAGGTTGACATAAGTAAATTTCTGTTAAACATTGACAAATAATGAAAAATGTCCAATGTCCAGCTCAAATCTACTTATTTAAAGCAACACTTTGGGATAAGGACTGGCCCTATCAGTGATTTCATGGATAGAGGGAACTCCCAGATGAACGAGCTCCTGTTACCAGTGCAGGTCTGCACCTTCTCTGCAATTTATTTAGAGAGTTGCCTTGAACAGATATGTTCAACTGGCTGCCCTCAAAACTCCAAAGTGTCCCGTGGCCAGAACCAGATTAAAATGTAATTGAAAAATATTTAACAACAACAAAAATAAAAACACCATACAAAATTTTGTTGTTCAGTCATTTCAAT